AGTTCCGGCAGCCGTTTCGCACAAATAGTAAGTATCTTTTTATTTTTCATTTAAAGAAAAAACGAATAATGGGTATATATATATATTTATTTATTTATTTATCTTTTTCTTATTTGCCATTTAAAGAAAAAAGTATATTATATATATATATATATATATATATATATATATTTATCTAAGTATATTGGACAAACTAAAATACTAGTAATTTTTATGATTATAAATAAACATAAATTAACTAATATATATATTTTTAAATTTGTAAAAATATTCATTAGATTACTTTACACGAGAATTACTTTTATTAATGGGTAACAAACAGGCCAATAGACAGCAAACTTTGCATCTCATTCCTGTAAAACTAAACCAGTTATTAAGTGATTAATATATTCCAATGTGATATTCACCTCATTTTATACCTTCAATAAGTTTTTGTATTCATCATATTTATTTATAGAGTCAGGACCTGGGTTCACTAAATATAAGTCTAAAAATTTTCACCAAATTTTTTACCTTTAATAACTTTTTGTATAATGAAAATTTTATATATTCAATTATTGAATTATTTGATATTATACTCAAGATTGTGTAAATTGAATTTCACATAATTTGAACTTTTTTAGACATTTTATCCAAAAATATGTGTTTACACATATTTTAAATATCATATTATATATTAAAATAAAGTAATGTGATGATCTACTTAATAATTTTGGAATAATATGAAATTTGATATATATGACCTTGAGTTTAATATCACCTAATTCAAAAATTAGATTGTTTAATTTTATTTTATACAAAAAGTATAAGATTGGATGTAAGTTTTTAGGCTTCTACTTGGTGTCAACTAGTAAATAATTTTGATATCTTGTAAAATTTGATATATACGATCTTGAATATAATATCACTTAATCCAACGATTGGATCAGTTAATTTTGCATTATACAAAATTATTTAAGGTATAAAATTTGGTGTAAATTTTAAAAACTTACACCAAATATTATGCCTTCAATGACTTTATAAATTGTTTTAACATTTTAAAATATATTATCAATAATTTAAAATAATCTTATATCTAATATAAATTATTTTATTATTAATCTAATATATAATTTATATATGAGGAGTGTTCAAACGATCCGGTGTAACTTTTACTAATTATTACACCGCTCAATAACTTTATATTAAATGTGAATTTTATAAATCTAACCATTAGATTGAAAATTCATGTCACTTTATATTTTTATAATAAATTTTGTTAAAATTGAACAACTTGAAGGTAATTAAAATATTCATATTTTATTATATTTTGAAATGTATATATTACGTCAATTTTATTTTATAAGAATGAAGTATATATCAAATCATCTTTGATTAATATAAAATTTTGTATATATGATCTAAGAGTAAAAAACTTTGAATTTAATGGTTGAATTTATAAAATTCACATTTAATAGAAAATTATTGAGCGGTGTAATACTTAGTAAAAATTACACCGGTATTGTTTAAACCATTCTCTTTATATATTTAAAAATATTAATTTATGCAAATTTTGAATATTTATTTACTCAAATATAGCATTTATTTATATGTATAATTTATTATAAATTTTAGTTATATATAATAATTATTTACCATGTGCACAAACTAAAATACTAATCTTCTAAAAAATTTAGTTTTTTTTTTCCAAAAAGTGATATGTTTTTTGATGATGTTATTTTTTAAATAATAAAAAATAAACATACTTAGTTTCAAATTTCTAAATATAATAAACTTTGCTTTTACAAAACTTACCCTTTAAATTTTATCGCCCCTTCTCCGTTGAGAATTTATGTACCTTAGTAAATTTACAAAACGGTTTAAATAGCACTTAAAAATGATTACAAAGTACTATTTAAACTACTTTAAGGACTAAACTTATACACTTTCACATTAGGAAAACCAAAATATACTAAATTGACTTAAATAATTTTAGAAGAAAAAAATAATTTTTATAATAAAAATAAAAAATATTTATTGTAAATTTTAGTTATATATATATAAACTTGTCATTAACAATTTCTATCTCACAGTAAAATCTAGATATGTTTTCTGTAGTAAAAAAACTAGACGGTACAGATATTGTAGTTGTCCATTAATTTCAGCAACGTTAGATCTGAACAACATCGTTATAGCATAATTATCCATGAGTGATTGTATAAATATATTCATTGATATATATTAAAAAAACATATATATATATAGTAACAAAGGTTATATATATATATATTATTTATCTAGTACATTGGACAAACTAAAATACTTGTAATTTTTATGATTATAAATAAACATAAATTAGCTTTTATATATTTTTTTAATTTGTAAAAATATTCATTAGATTACTTTCTACGAGAATTACTTTTATTAATGGGTAACAAACAGGCCAATAGACAGCAAACTTTGCATCTCATTCCTGTAAAACTAACCCAGATATTAAATGATTAATATATGCCAATGTGATCTTCACCACATTTTATACTCCTTGTACTGATTTCAAATTAAACTTTAACCAACGTTTTATGCATATGCATGTCGGCCAACATTATAATATATAGTACAGTATGATCATGGGTGATAAGGATCCATGGATAGGTGGGCCAAACCAAAGTGTGAAGGAGCAATCTTTTTGCACGGTGATAGCTAAGCAAGGCGAATGCTTCGTTGCTGTAAAGTTTAATCCAATAAAGTTGCCAAGTAAAGATCTGTCCTAAATCTTTTGAGAGATTAAAAGAAGGGTAAAGAGGAAACTTTGTTAGGTTTATCTTTCTCTAGATACGATCAAACTTGGAATAAAATGTGGCCAGAAGCTGAGGTATTCTAGATATGCACAGCCTTATATAAATATAATTCTAAAGTTGAAGGTCGCATCAATTACAAAACTAACTAGAACAATCATATTCGTAGTGAGAAGTACTAACAACAACACATATTTGTCATACTTTTTTATTTGTTAAAATTCATCAAAAATTACAAAATCCTGAAAGAAATTCATTAAATAATAAGGTATGAACCTTATTATTATTATTATTTTGTAATTTTCAATAATTTTTAATTAGTAAAAAAATATGTTTGAAAGATGTGTTAATTGGGTTGAACCTTTGATGTGTTAATCGTCATGTGTGATTTCTAAAATGTACAAGTAGTATGAAATATGCAAGGACGATCACTTAAAAAAGCTCTTTGTAGTATAGCTTTATCAGTAAAATGATTAGTATTAGAATCCGAGAATGAAACACTGGGATTATTA